CTTAGTAATAGATGGGTCACTCTTATCTTGGATTTCCTTCCTCTTTTTAAAAGGTGCAAAGCGCATTTCTCTTAATTATCAGTGGAACACGTCGACGTGATTTCTGCTTACCTACGGAGTTTGAGATGTTTGTGCACTGCAGTGATTGCTAATTTCTTCCCCACTGTTTTGTATGTAAACACTCGAAGTAGCTTGTGCATTGAATGGCACTTAAAAAAAAAAATGGAGAGAAAGCTATTGGGGGGAAAAGCTAGTGATAGCTCGGAGAAGGCTGAAATTGGAAGGCCCAGCCCTCTTTCAACAGATTGTCAAATCTTAACAACTTGCTGTGCAGAAACATGCTTTTTGGAAATATCTCAAAGTGGCTTTGGACAGGGAGAGTGTGTCAAAATCTCGAGGCCTCCTCTGAAAAGGTCCTGCTGCTTGTAGGGTTGCTGATTTGCAGGCCTGCAAGCTCTTTGAATAGCAGGCTCAGCTCACAGGCTGCGCAAGAGCAGCTGAGATCTGAGCTGCAAACGGGGGAGTTCTGGGTTAGAACCCTGCTTGGTGGTTCAGGTTCAGCTTCTTTTCCTAACTTGGTTCCTCAAAACTGACTGGGGGAAGCGTGGAAGGGAGATGAATTCTTAAGCCCTAGAAGAAAAATGACCTGCTTTAACAAATGACCTCTCTGAAAAACAGCTGTCTGCAAAGATCGGAAAAGCCAATAATTAATATGAAGTGCTAAGTCATTATAAAACCGCTGTTGCAAAGAAAAAAAAAGTTATTGAGTATATTCAGGCTGGTAAACATTTATTGAGTAAACAAAAAATAACGTGGAATGAAGCTGGGGGGAAAGAAAGAATTTGAATCGACTTTTCGGTGATGAATAGAAAGTGGCCCTCCTACATTGCGGGCTGGCGTTTCAGTGGTTGCCTGGCACGTGCCCGGCACGGTGCCCTCCTTGATTTTGGAAATAAACGGGGAAGCTATTTCACAGGCCCCCCCGTGTGCCGATAGGGTGTTCAGCAGCACAGCAAATCTTTGTCTGCACCTGAGCACATAGTTAGCTTTGTGTGAAAGGAGGAACAGAACTGATGAATCATGAAGTCAGCCAGGTACCCAGCGCCGCACAAGCAAGATTGACACATCTCTGTTGACCGCAGCGGGTACACAGGATTCTTCTGTTCCTCTTTAAAGGAAACAGTCCGGTTCATTGTTGAAGAGCTACGCCAGGGCGCCTTTGAAACAGTGCTGCCAAGCGGGGGTGCCTGGCAGAAGAAGAGGCACGTTTTTTGTAGGAAGAGTGTGCACCAGGGTGCATTTGAGCAGGGACCTCTCCCCTGGAGGAATTCACTCAGACGGGATTGGTCCTAAGCAGCATCAGCCTTTCGATGGGTAGTAAAAGGATGATAAAACTGACCTCCTTTGCAGGGAAGATCTGGGAAGATCCGTAGCTTGTTAGTCAAACTCACATGGACTATTGGAAAGCAATTTCTGTGAACTGAGATGAGATCTTTGCTATCAGAGATGGAGGTGAGATCCTTGCTAACGAGACAACTTCAGTACTTTTTTTTTTCTTTTTGCACCAATGCTAATCTTGTGTATGCTAATCAGTAGCTTGGCCCTAATCTGCACATAATCTCATCCATGCATCCTTTAGAGTCCTTAGAATTTAATAGGGTTTCCTTCTTCCTAGATCTGCACTGGCTAGATTTAGCTACATTTGGGCGTGAAAGCTGGAGTAAGGCCCTTTAGATGAGTTTTGAAAGACGGGAAGGTAGAAGGCCCGGATCGGTTTTGGGTGCAGCCTTTTTGGAAAATGATGTTGAGGTTACCGTTTTGGACTTGCACCCAATTGTTCTCCTTTCCCTTTAAATCAACGTTTTTCAAACCTGGCAGCTTTCAGGTGTGAGGACTTCAACGGGCTGGCTGGGGAATTCTGGGAGTTGAAGTCCTCACATCTGAAAGCTGCCAGGTTTGAAAAACGTTGATTTAAATAAACAGGTCCTGGAAAGCTGTGCAGGTTAGTTCTGAATTGCTGCTGGATTCTTAAGTCCATGGTCGGTGGCCTCATAGTGCAAAAATCCAGCTGTACTTGGGCTAATCGTGAGGATTAAAATGGGGAGGGCTTTTTACCAAATGTCAGATGTCTCTCCACTGTTTGCTGTGGCAACCAGCAGGCTTCAAGATCTTGCCTTTTTGGAAAAGGAGGAGGGAGAATCTCTTGATTGGGCAGGAAAGGAATTTTTAAAAGGGAAATAGTTGCATTTTCAAGACATGAGAAAAGCTCTGTTGGATTCTCCAAGGCTGGTTTAACCCTGTTTCTTGATCTCGTAGCTTCAGTTTGCACAGGGTGACCACAGTTCTTTGAATTAGTAAGCCCTAGATCTGGGGCACACATTACGTGCCGTAACGTGGATTGCTTTGTTCTGTATTGTGTGTTGGTGAACTGAAGCCTGTTGTGCAAACAGTTGTGATAGTAGGCCGTGTCTTAGCATGACGTATAGCAGGTGGTGGAGATGGGAGCCATGGAAAGGTCGTCTAATCCTCAGCGAAAGCACCAGTTTCGCTGCAAATCAGGCAGAAGAGGTGTGGTGGTGCGACCGTGGTTTGGTGTTGCCTTGTGGCAGACAGATCAAATGCAATCCAAGCTTGCACCATATGGAGACAGGTGTGATTTTATGGAGATCAGATGGGGGGGACCCTCCCTGCTTTAATTCAAGGAGCGGCAGTGACTTATACGTCTTATTTTAAAAGCTTTTCCCTTTCGGGAAACTCTTTTGGGACAAAATGTTTTGTGTGATTTTGTTTGGGACGTGTTTTCTGGTGCCATTCAGGAAACTAGGGAATATGACTCCCTTCCTCTCTCCTTCCTTCCTTCCTTTCCAGAAAAAGCAAGTAAAGTCAGGCAGGCCCAAAGTTGTTTTTGTCCCCGCAAATGTCTCTCCCCTCTCCCCCCACCCGGCTTCCTCGATTCCTCCTCTGGCCCCAAACCAGCATTTTTCCTTTTGACTGATGGGAATATGGCGAGCGTGTTTGGACGGGTCAGCCTTCTGGGGAATTCTTCTCCTCTAAGCTTTGAAACATTTTCTCAGGCTCCCCTTGTTTCTTAATCCCTTTGGCACTTTGATTAGCGATGCACCAGGAGTTTTTTCCTTAAAAAAAAAAATTCTGCTGTCGCAGAGTGTTTTAGGAAGGCAACGAGACGGGGCTTAAACTGGATCAAACTGTGGCGGAATCTTCGGAAGGACGGGATCACGGTGTACCAAAGTCTTCTATTTCATGACAAGCTGTTTATAAATAAGTGTTGACATTTTAGATCATCCGTGATATTGATGGCAGGGTTCCTGGGAGGGCTGGCATTACCCCCTTTGCGTCGTAGGGGCCTGCCTTGCAAACAGCTGCTCGCCTAGGGCGAGTCGGAACTGCTTCCAAACGAGCAGAGAGAGAAGGGTGTTAATGTAAATAGATGGATAGAAAAAAAAGTCTGAACTTCTGCAAAATAAATTTATGACGGCAGCAGCTTTTGAAATCTGCAGTTGCCATACCCTGAGTCAGAACAAGGATTTATTATTGCCCTGTGTAGTTTATTCTGACTTGTAGTACCTTTTCAAGGAAGATTTTGAATTAATTGGGTTGTGTGGAATTCTCCATTCCAGCCTTGGGCACTCAAATCTCGTTCTTCCTAGTCATTGCATAATTGGGGAAGGCAATCCATTGTCACTCCATGTACTATTCAGAGGTAGACTCCTCTTGAGAGTGGAGGCTTTCATTCCCGTTGATTTATCAAAGGCATTTTAATGAGGTTTTCAGCCCAAAGGGTTCCTAAATCATATAACCATACATATTATGTTTATTGAGAATTTTACATAAAGTAAAAGACAAATCTAAAGAAAAAGAAGAAAGAAAGAAAGAAAAAGGTGCAAGAAAACTAAAAAAGAAAAGAAACTAAAGTTATGAAATATGACTTCCGACAGATAATTATAATCTTATAATCCCTCCTCCCTCTTAGATGTCATACTTCAGCCCCTCACTTGATCCACACCTTTTTTAATCCTCAAACCCACAATCATCCTATCATTTTTTTTCTTCTTTCAGCAAAAAGTCCATAGAAGGTTTCCAGTCTTTCAAAAACCTTGTAGATAACCATTCGTATTATGGTACTACGTCTGTACTGATGCATTGGTTCGTTGACTGTGAGTGTTTCTCTGCTGCTCCGCTCCAAATGGCTCGGCGGAAGTTGATCATAAATAATAAGGAAAAGACTGTCCGGGCCGTGAGACTGAAAGGGTAAAGGGCTGAGGAGGGAAGAGGAAAAGAACACACACCGGCTTTCATTTTCAAAGTTACAAGGACCTTAGAGCTGAAATAGAAATGGAAACAATGGGCTTTGCCACTGGACATCCCCACATGGGAAGAACCTGGTTCCTTTTCCTCCCTCTGCTTGCTGATAGGTGGACGGTATGAATGTGAAAATCTGATTTTCTCTTGCATGAAGAATATCCCAGATGCTGAGGGAGGAAGGCTCCCAGCTGCCTCCTGCTTTTTCTTCAGGCCTTCCTTGGAGGGCCCCTTGGTGTGCTGCTGGACTACCCTCCCCATCAGCCACAGCCAGTGGGGAGGGAGTTTGCAGGCTGGGGAGGCAGAGAGTCACTGTCTTGATCACGGCACTCTGGACGTCCTCTGCCTCTTTTGGCCGTTCGGCTCTTCGTGGCTCCCAGGTCGTAGGATCCGTGCCCCGGACCGGGCGACCTGCAACCGGAGCGTCTGAACAGCCTCCCATTACGTAGCTTGCATGATGACTTCTCAAGGATATCCTGCAGAGCTGCGCCCGCCGGGGTGACGTTGGCGTTTCCTCTGAAGCCGAGCCAGGTTGCGGGGCGGTGGGTCCTGCTCCAGTCCTTCCCTGCCTGGGGGCTTTGGGCAGGCATCCTGGTTTGTCCCCCCCAGCCCCAGTCCGGCTTCTCATCTGGCAGCGTCGGAGCCTGCGTGGAGGCTCAGGTGAGGGCGAAGGCCCTTTGGAGAGAGGAGGGCGGCTCCCTTTTCTCGGCAGCGGGAAGAGCGACGTTCAGGGAGGGCGCGGCAGCCGTGAGCCACCGAGGGAGTGGACCAGGCAGGGTTGCGCACAGAGGAGGCGTGGGTGGGGACCCAGGTGCCCTGACGGAAGGAGGCACCTCCGCCCAGCAGAAGGGAGCCCGGGGAGCAGAGGACCATGAGCCGAGGGAAGGTCGGACGGGCCAGGAGCGCCTGGAAGGGGCCGGAGGAAGCTGGTGTTGAGATCCAGGTGTGCTCCGATTCGGGAAGGCTGGGTCGAGCAGAAAGCCGGAGCATCTAATTGGGAAGGAGGGGCGGCCTTGAGGACCCAAGCAGCGCCAGCACTGAGCCAGAAGGGTCCTCACTTTATCAATCGATTTCAAGGAAGTTCATTCTTTTTAAGCCGAGCACTTCCTGAAGAAGAAGAACAAACGTGCCAGAGTTTGCAAACCTTTTCTTGGGGGAGCTGCTGCGGGGTGGGATGCGTGCCGGGTGTGGGCCTGCCCTGGAATGAGAATGTGGCGACCTTTTGGAAGTCTTCCCCCCTCCTCATATACCAGCTCATATCTATATCTATATACGCTTTTTTGAACGGCCAATATTTCCCCAGGCTTGTCTGAATCAGCATGGCAGGTGGCAGAATGCTGCCACTGTTGGCTTTATCCAAAAGGACCGGGTGTTGCGGGCGAAACCCAACATCTGTGCAGGTTGCTAGATAACTTTGCCCTCATTTCTCAGGCCAGCTTACCTACTAGCTGGTTGCACAGGGAAATTAGGAATCCCTCCTGCCTTCTGTGCGTCTTCTTGAGGTTCTGGGAGGGCAAGGCAATTTGGGGTGAATCAGTGAAAAGGAAGACCAAATTGTACACCGAACGAAGTTGAATTTGGGAACAGGCTAGCCAATTTAAGCAAAAACACTTGCAGATTTGCAGACTTCTGTTTCCCTCCCGTCTCTCCAGGGAGGGGCAGTTAACTATGAGAAGTGGCATTTGTTCTCGGCTCCTTGAAATCCTTTGCGTTCTTTTTCTGCCTTACAAGATTCCCCCCCATCCGGTCACCACCCAGTCACCTGCATACTTTTCTGAATATGCCTTCATTATTCATGAGGTCTAGAATCCTGCAGTTGAGTTCACCAACTGGCTGTTAAGGCTCTGCTGTTTTGTATGATTGACCATGGAACAGGGAGTCTTCTGTATGGTAAAACAAATCAAAGAGTGTCTGATGAAGAAGTGGAATTTGTTAGGCAATTTATTGTGGGTGGGTGGGTGAGTTCGTAAGGATTAATTATAGCTTGTTCTTCAGAAAAACGTCTTTGGCCTGTTAGTTGTGTACGATACCCATGAAGATGTGTGCATGTGGGTGTTTGCAGCGTACATACAAACACACACACACACCCTTCATGGGCATCACACACAACTCACTGGGATGTCGAGGGGGAGGGTCAAAAGAGTCAAGATGTGCAACTGAAGCTGAACCTCCTTGTCACATGCATTGCATGTGTAATACGGGTGCACACTCCTGGTTGCCATCTTCACCCTTGCAACTCCTCACTGAGCTACCCCAAATTAATGCTGGACATCTCCTGAACGTCAGTTCCCATGCCAGCGGGCGATACTGGGGGTTGAACTCAGTGCCTTTGGCATGTACATTTGCACGAGAGACCGGATGGTTAATCGGTCTCTGGGCATCAGCCCCTTCCCTGGGTGGGTTACAATGCAATGAAAAAGCTTCCTAAAATCAATAGATAATGGGATTATAACAGGAGAAGATTATCGTGTCTTTATGATTCTGTCCATTTTATGTATCTGCCCATTTCACAGTGGTGACTCTAAGATTACTAACATAGTTGGAAAGAGTAGAATACTGAATTAAGAGACAAGAGGGAGTTTTTCTCCACCCTCATTTGATCAACAGTCCATGGAAGAGACATCTTGGGGCTCACCTAGATGTTAATGAGGACTAGTTTGCTTCTGTGTTGGGGTGAAAAAATGCTGGTGCTTAATTCAGTTTCTGGAGGGAAGTGGGATGGGGGTCAGTGGTCCTGCAGGAGCAAAATGGAACTGAAACGCTGTGCGTCCAGAGCCCCCTCAAACTTACTGTTTTCTCAGTGAAGTAGGTCTGTTATGCTTACTTAAGCAAGCATAAATTTGCAGAGAATGTAGGGATGGGTGTATCACGTTTGCTGGGCCCAAGACAAATGAATAAACAAGTTAAAGAGAATTGAATTGCATGTCTGCTGAAAGAGTCCCAAGTCACCTTACTTTCTCGTTTGCTCGATTCGTATCAGAAATGCTTTTGATGCAAAGCGAGTTAAGAATTTAATTTAAAAAAAAAAACCAAGCCTGTGATTTCCTCCTTTCAAATAGGGTGGAGTGTTGACAGATTTCCCCCTTTATCTGTAGATAGTTGTAGGCACGTAGGTATCATCTTGCAAAATCTTTGGACTCGCAGAACAGGTTTGGGTAGGAATGGCTAAATTAGCTTGGGATATTTTTGCTTTTAAATAAAGTAACTCGCTTTTATTTGGAGGGTTCATTCTTAAAATAAACAAACCCTGGCGCTCTGTTTGGCTTCAGGTTTTCCGAGTTAAAAAAAACAACAACAGCAGCTGATCTTCATAGTTTTTGTTTTGGTTTTGATTACTAATCCAGGGCCAGGAATACACAAGGAAAAGGCTATTTCTGCTCCAGGGTATTTACAGGTTTATTTTAGACAGGAAAACAACCCAGCAAACAGAAGTGAGCATTCAGAGTTTCAAAGGAGTAAAAATAAAATCTCCTTCAAGAGGAGTTCAGTTCTTGGAAGAGGGGAACAAATTTAGACCTTGATGCCCTTTGGCGTTAAGGAAAAGGTTAATGTTATAAGATGCTTTTTAATACAGCAACATGTGTTTGAAGGGCATATTGCAGAGATGCAGTAGTTCAGCTCAGATCTCAGTTGTATGTCTTTTGCAGAAGTCACTCCGCTTAATTTCTTTATGGTTTGCTGTTATCTTCTGAGACTTCATTCAGAAATAAGTCCTGCCCGGTAGGACGACTTTACTGAAAGAGGCGAAATATCAAACACTCAGATGATTAGAAGCTCGGTTACCCTGATTAAATTAGAGGTATGGATTCAGGGGTTGCTGAACTACAATTCCCAGCATTTCTCATTGTTGGTTATTCTGATTGGCCTGCTGGAGTTGGAGTTCAGAACATCTGGAGCTCTACAGGCTCCCTCTCGGTGATGCAGAGTCTCACTGAACACATCTGGGACGGGTGGACAGAAGAGATGGGGCAGGGTATGTTATGAGATCTGAAATGTTGCTGTGCGGATCTTGATTTGAGGGCTCACAAGCAACCTTGTTGTCCTCTTAACTACAAAATGAGCCTTAACATAAGTAAGCAGCACTGGATGAACTCTCGGAGTTGGACTGGTGAGGAAAAGAACAGTTCTAGTGCCAAATTCTGCATATTGAAAGTAATAATCTAGGAATAAGCGGTATTTTTTCTCCCTTGACTGAACGCATCAAATCAGCGGTTGTCCAAAGAATCAAGGAGAGACACCCTTATCTATCCCTTTTGACCGGATTCTGGAATTGTGGGATAGAATGGCCAGGATCAAGCCATCACCCTTCTGCAAAGCTGGGGTTCCAGCACTTGATCATGGTGTTCCTGCATAGTCCTGGGGTGGGTTCTTCCATCCTGCAGACACAATGTGTGTGTGTGTGGTCCTCATTTAGCAATGGTTTGCAGTTACAACGGGGATGAAAAAGTCACTTTGCGACCAATCCTTGCATTTATGACCTTTGCAGGTCTGTAAAGCAAAGGAAAGCTCAAGGAAGATCGTAAGCACCATCACGGTTTCACTAAGCGATTGCTTCACTTAATGCGATGAACTTGCCGGTCCCAATTGTGGTCACTCAACGAGGACGACCTTGTATGTGTTATGCCAGATTTCGTAACTGGCACTTACTGTTAATTGCATCACAGAGTAAATTGTTGGAAGTTTTTAAAAACAAATCAAAATTGTTTTTCCCCTCCTTTCTTCCCAGGCCAAGCCTATTTATGGTGGATGGCTTTTATTAGCTCCAGAAGGCACCGATTTTGACAACCCTGTGCATCGTTCGCGGGTAAGGACTGCTCCTTCCTCCTTGCTGGGCTATGAGGGGCATTAAGTTCAGATGGATTGAGGGAGGTGGAGGATCTGAGTTTTGCAGTGCTTGAATACATTGTGTGAATAAATAAATAGCTGCATGACTAAATCTTGGCCCACGATCCTCATTTTCCCACCCCTTCTGCTGGGGCCACTTTCCAGAATCTAGTGTCTCCATAAGGCAGGGTGTGCAACTCCTTGGAGCCCTAGAGTGAGGGGTCAGGAGCCATAATCAAAAACTGGTTGTACCAGGAAAAAGGCTAAATTTCCCTTAATCTCAGCTACCTCTCCATTTCTATGACATTTACAATTAATCCATTCGATATGGTTCACACCACGCTCTGCGTGTTTTGCAATCTCCTTCTTCCGTTACATTAAAAATGGCAGCAACTTCTGGACGGCTGGAACCTCACGCCAGACTTTTGGGGGTCACATAATTCCTTAAGGTTGCAGGCATTATACCTCTAGTGTAAAGAAATGGAGAGGAATAGAAGTTAATATGGAGAGGAGAGGGGAAATGAAACAGCTTCTCCACTCCAGATCTGGTGCTTTTGGAGCTGAATTCCACCTCTTCTGAAAGACCACCTGGCTGGGGAAACCTCAGTTCAAGGCTGTCTTCCACTGTGCAAGTCAGGTTAACAACATGGCCTCTTCTCCCTTTTTAGAAATGGCAACGCCGCTTCTTCATCCTTTACGAACATGGCCTTCTCCGCTATGCCTTGGACGAGATGGTGAGTCAACTCTTCCTTTAATGCTTGTGGTGGGCTTGTTATGAGGTGAGAGGTCACAGGTGGTAGCCAGTAAGAGTTTGGGAAGCATTCTTCAAACTTGGCAACTCTAAGACCTGTGGACTTCAACTCCCAGAATTCCCCAACCAGCAGTACCCTCTTTGGTTCTCCTACTTGGCTGTCCGTTCTCACCCTTCCTGATCGCTTAGGCATTGGAAGACTTCGGTTTGCTTTTGTGTGTTCATAGTGAGGATGATATTATCCTTCACGTTTGAGCTCAGAACATACTTCCTTGGTCTGGGGCTAGTAGGAGTTGCCTCTAGTTGAAATGTGAAGCATTTACAGATGATGCTCTTGAGATGAATTAGAGATGCCACTTGCCTGGCTGGCGTGGCCAAAAGAAACAGATGACTCTGCTATTCGTGTCAAAGTCTGTTGAAGCGAGGTGTCTTGGTGTGTTTTCCCAAGGAGAAGGAAAAACAGCCTTTGGGTTCCCTGTGAATGGCACCCTTGGATTTGCAAAAGAGCTTGTGTTTGGTGGCCAACTTCTTCTCCCTCTTTGCCCAGGCTTCATCCACATCCTTTCAGTTGCCAAGGCTTGGAGAGCTGAACATTTCTCTCTTCCATCTGTCCTGGCAATTGGGCTGCTTGCATTGAGAAATTATTTCCTGGAGGGACCAGAGGAAGATGGGATGGAGGGTTGGGGGTGGGGGGATGCTTCCCCGTGGGAGGCCTGAATGAATGACATCAGGAGCGGACCTGGATCTAAAGAATGGTGTATCAGTCTAGGATGGCCTTTTCTAGTGTGTCGTCTGATTGTCTGAAGGATGCTGACTCTGGTCATGCCCAGTTAATCTGGCGGGGTGTGATGGGAGAGACAGTTCATCACATCTGTAGGGCACCAGGCTGGAGAAGGCTTCCTAGATGCTGGTGAAGAATACATCACAGTTCTTCAAATGATAACTTTTGTGATCAGTGGACCAAAACTTGCCCCAAGTCTCACTGAGAGGCGTACCCTACATTTGGTCCATTTTAGTGATGAGGCCGTTTTCTCCCCTTATACTTTTATTGTTAGCACCTCTGAATTTGGATCAGCCATGAAAGAAACCTAGATGAGTGTTTGAAATGGATTTAAATAAGGAAAGAAATTGGGTGTGTAGATTTATTGGATGGGAATGCTTAATAGCCAGGAAGTCTCTGTCTTTGCGGTGCTGGAAAATCAGTCCTGCGTGTAAGATGCAGAATACAAAGTTCAAGGCTGGTCTTCCTTCCAGGGTTGCCCCAGGTGGGCAGGAAATTAGAAAGGATGAAGACCCCTCATAGCTTAAAGAAAGGGAGGGCCAGGGCACCTGGCTCCCTTTGGCTTAGTTGGGCCCATCCAAAGCTAGAAGTGTGTTTGAAAGGAAGCATTAAGCAAAAACTGGTCTATGAAAGTGTTAGCCCTCTGAGGTAGTCCAGACATGAAGCACAACCAGGAGTCCTAGCTCTTTCTTTATGGTAAGATTACATTAACAGGATCTTAAAAGTATTTCTCCCCTCCCCTCCTTTTACTCTCCAGAAAACTAGGGAGGGTCCCTTCTGAAATGCTTCCCGTGCTCCTTTTCCTTGGGTGGGCTGAGACACCTTTTACAAGCTGGTTGTCCAGTCCGTGTCTCTCCCTCCTGTCTCCCAAGGTCATTCCCACAAACCATTACAGAAAGAGAGCCAAGTCAAGGGTCACCAAGGTAGAGAACGGTCCTTAGGACATTCTCTTTATCTGGAATCCAGATGGGTTGCACTGCTTTCCTCCTAGCATGAAATGGTGAGCAATTGTCCCTGCAGCCTCCAGAAGGTAGACTGAATAACACCTAGCTGACTAATAGGAGAAGACCCTGTAACTGACTTCTTTGTCCTTGGGAATGCCATGGGCTGAATTCCTGTCCAAACCAGGGTCCTTTCTTTCTGTATGATGACACAGAAAGAAGATCTCACACCTGCTATCTGGTGTCCAGTCTGGAACAGTTCTTCTCCAAGAATCTAAGCTGGTTGGTTGTTGTGCTTAGAGATGAAGGGTATGTGGCTTTGGAGCTAAATCTGGGTTAATTTATAAGAGAAGGACCATACCTTGGGACCGAGAGGTGGAAAGTTTTTTGGTAATGTTCAGAAGCAAATGGGATTTACAGGAAGAGAAGAGGATAAATTAAGCAAAAGTTAGGATGGGTTATGTAGTACGCTCTCAGTATTCTCTTGGTCTTCTTAATCAAGGATTCCCAGGAGAGGCAACATTGGCCATTGAGTAAAACTGCCCAGAATTGGGTTCCCATGGTCAAGGGCCAGGTGGTCTTCAGCAGGAACTTGTTTTTCGGCAGGGTCCCCAATGATGTCAAGTTGGCTCTGGTGGTGAAGTTGTATTTTCCACATAAGGCTGGAGGAACAGCTGGGAATAAGCTGCTCTGGATTAATTGCTAGGGAAGAAGAGGAAAGCTGGTGTGTGATTTATCATGGTTGTCATTTCCAAAAAAGTTGAGTAGATACTTCCTGGGAAAGACATGAGGATCAGGCTGTGTCTGATGTTTCTGGTTTTCACACCAAGTTTTGTGGTACTCCTCTCGTGCTCAGGGCACACATTTTGGAACTCAGTTGACATCTAAGGTTTCTCCATCAACTGGTCCATGAAGAAGAAAAGGTAGTCAGTCTTAAGAGGGTGGAATTCACTAGTGTAGGGCTTTGATTGTGTGGTTGCAGCCCCATCTTGACTTTTTTGACCCCCTACACCCCGCAGAGGCCTCTGAGTAAAATCAGGCTTGGATTTCTTTCTTCACCTCATCCTTCACAACATGGTTTGCTTAATGCAACGTGTGAATTCAGCCAGTCTCGGCAGGAAACTGTGGGGAATATGTTGCATGAGGTATATTTTCCATGTTATGAGTGATTTAATATGTTGGTATACCCATTAAGTACAAATCTCAGTTTCAAATCCACTATGAATCGACAAATCAAATTAAAAAAAAACTAAAATAGTATAAAACAGTCATTAAAAATGTGGGGGAAGAAGTGAAGCACAAGGTTCATCTAGGGCTGGGCTGGTGGAGAACAAGGATTTGGGGTTTCAGAGAGGTCATCATAGGTGCCTTTCAAATTTCAGAGGGGAGGGCAGGTATCCTCCCCCAACCTGAGAATGGCTACCCCAAGTAACTGCAAGGTGGCACTCTCCCGGAAAACAGGCATTTTCCATTAACCCCCTATTGGTTTTGAAGGACTTCCCTACGAGAGGAAAAGGTAGGAGTGAGATGTGTGCCTATTAAATAAGCAATTCCTACCAGTAATCCTTGTAATTTCTCATTCCACCTCTGATAAAATCAGGAATTTTTTTTCCCTCTTTAAGTTGAGTAACGCCCTCATTCCTAGCCTTTCAGTCTCAGCTACACAACCGGCAGAAGTCTTACTTTTTCAATCAGATTATTGCCCATTACGTTGAATATATACTTATCTTGCTCCTTTTGACGTGTCTGCCAACATTTTACCAGTGAGTGGCATTAGAAGGGAAGAGGGAGGAGCAGAAGGGGGGAACTTGAGCTGAACTGGTTTAATTTTCCTGCAGAACTTAAGAAAGCGGATGTGATACTGATCTGCTTATCTACCTACATATATACGTAGTTATTCACATGTGTGTGTGTGTTAGTGTTAGTGTAAATTTATTGGGGGCAGAGGTCACCTTGGAAGAATGAAACTGGCAAAGAACTGAAGCTGATTGGGAGCCCCACCTTGGCTGTTTGGGAAAGTGTGTTGGAAAGACCTTGAGGAACTTGGAGATGTTCCTCAAGAAAATCATGACTGAACAGTTAATAAAAATGACCACCAAAGCCTTGCAGCATTCTCCACTGAGGAATATTATGGGCTTCTGTAATCTTACTTTTGCAGCTATAGGATTATCTTACATTAATTAATAGGAGATACTTGGTTAAGTTGCTCTCTGGCTTTAATGAGTAGAGAAGGTACATCTATCTAATTGTGCAGTCACTCAGCAGACCTGGGCTGGGGTCCTTCATCGAAGGGATTCAGTTTAGGACACATTTCCTTCAAGTTAGTTTAATTCAGGGGTGTTTCTCTTGGGGGAAGAAAATGAGAAACAAAGCATTCCACATGACTGTATTTTCCAAGATGGAGGGTGGTCTTTTGTTTAATAAACCACAGGTTTCTACTGCAGAACAGAAGCCCTTGGTGTTTGATGGTCTGCCTGTTTCACCAATTGATCGATTGGCTAAAAGCTTGGGGCCAGTTCTTACTCTAAAAATCGCTCACTTGGATGTAGTCTCATACTGCATAGAATTCCTGGCCCAGGATATATAAAAGCTGCCATCCAGGAGCTAACCGAAACCACCAAGAGGCTGGTCAAGGCATGAGTTCTTCACTGATACCTGTCCAAGATCCTCAAGTGTCATATTGTTCTCATAACTATTAGATGCGAGAGTCTCATTCTTCCTGAGTTTGCTTGAGCCCTTTGAAAACCACTCAAGTTGGTGGCCATCGCTACATCTTGTGGGGGTGAGTTCCACTGCTCAGTTTTGTTGAGTGAAAAAATACTTTCTTTTCGAGGAGTCCAAGTTCTGGGTGTGCAGTTGATAAATTTAACCGACGCTGCATCGCCTTCACTGTCATCTTTGCTGCAGAGGATAGTCTCATTTTGAAACCGAAGATCTGATTGATTGAATCAGTGACTGGCAGTAGCCTGAGCCATTAAAAAACATGCTCACACCCACCATCTGCTCCTCTTCTACCCTTGTTTCCAACGTCGCAAGAACTATTAAAAAAAAAATTAATTGCTGTTTTCTTTTTATGGTACCCTGTCAGGCTTAGGGTATGTTGCTCTTTCTTTTTTAAAAAAAACTATTTATTTAATGTGCTTGTGCTGCATTTTATATCTAAGCTGTTTACTTAAGCCTGGCGCCAAAAATGAATGATTTGGCAGCAATTATATCAGCAGCGTTTAACCCTTTTTGTTCATCCCATCTCTTCTCATGCCC